ATTCAAACCAAATCTCTGACTTCTCCTCAATTTCCACACAGTGGTCGGTTGTGTGCGTGTACACGTGAATGGAACACTGACTGTTGATGTTTCAGTCGAAGTGAGTAGTGAGTAGTGTTGAATGGATGTGCTGCTCATTTGAGTGAACGACGATTGACAGTGCTAGTGTTTGTAGTATAGGTGGTGGTGTTATTGGTGTTGGTAGTGTAGTGTAGTGTAGTGTAGTGTAGTGTGGTGTGGTTTGACATGTCAAGTTCATATGCCTCGTTCTGTCTTTCGATCAGTTTTGTGACTTTTCGTGCTTGTTGATGTTTGGGTAGTCTCATTTGACATAAGATTTATGGTGTATTTAATATGGGAATCTTATACTTTCATATGCGTTTATTGTAGTAGTTTTGATATAGGTGTTAGCATTAGTAATTGATCAGTCATTTGAGGATATTTAAAATTGTTTTTCATCAGATTTGAAAAACACTTAGGATGTTGAAATAACTAGTAAGGTTTTTTCAACACGGAAAATTTATCACAGTCGATTATTTCAATAAGTGGCAGTTGCGCGACATAAACCCTCATTCCAACTATCGTTTCTACCACCTGCACAGTCACCACAACAACAAAATCATCAACAAATACTGTCGATTCTACCACTTCTATCACAAATTATTCAAATCAAACCACTACTATCATTATCATTACTGACACTCAAACAACAAACAATTTCACTACAATATCTGCTTCTCCCACCACTAACACCATCATCGTCATCAACAACATCAATGCAACAACTACTACTACTCTTTCAACAATAACACTCGATCTTCAATGACTAAATCAACACCACCACCACTTCAAATACCTCTAAGATTGTCGACAGCAATAAACACGCACGCACACACACATGAATCGAGTCGCAAATGCTTTAGTAATCCAGGCATTCCCTTTTGTCGAGTGTGGAAAGGAAATTTAGATGCATGCAGAAAACTTCCAAATTTTTTTTATATGAATGAACAGTAATCAAACCGAATATTATCATATTCTTAATAGCGACTTGCTTCATAAAGCATTTCTCGGAACCCTAATTAAATGCTCCGGTCAGTCGAGGTCAACTGTGTTGACTGTGAGGCACTTACTGACAGAAAATAATGGAAAATAGTTGTGCAACATTGTGGATTGGTTGAAGTTGGACTCTGACAATGTTGGATACCAGCTCAGTGGTTTAGATATTAAGCGTACACGCTAGATCGAAGGTCCTCCATTCGAATCCTGGGTGGGTTCCCGTGAATAAGCACCTTTGAGGAGTTCCATACCTGGATAAAATGGCCGTTCAATGCTTCCAGGTTTTCAATGCTAGTCTAAATGTGATCGGTTCATGATTTCAATGAAAAATCAAATAACTGAATTTCATATCTTCAGTGTCTAAATGGCTAATATACATTGTTAACACGAGTAAGTTAATATATCATATGAAACTGTGAGATTATTATTCAGAGTATAAATATCATAGAGTGAGAGGAGCTGTGTAATTATTGAACAGATCTACTGATCGGTCGAAAATCATGTCATGTTCAAGTGATATGAATTCGGTAAGAAATGTTTAGGTAGAATGAGTGCTAGTTGAATTTTCCAGATGTACACAAGATTAGGAATCATAGTTATTACCACAATAACGATGAGAATAATAAAAATGTATGTGACCGATATTAATAAAGACATTTGAAATAGATAAATTCGTTATAAAAAAAACAAATCGTTGCACATACAGTATTCACGTCATTTTACCTTATGATTAGGATGACTATTGATGTATTATGCCGGAAGATGGCCAATATCTAATATTTGAAAGCTAAATTAATGGTAACTTCCAGGAATTCTTTATGGACTATATGTATCCTTCCTATCATAAGCTTTCATTTGACGTTTCAACTACTATTATATGATATTCTCTCCATAATTTATTTCCAATCTATTAGTTAGTCTCCCATACTCACAGCCACTTTTGACTTGATCTTGTATGATTTTCATAATGTGATATGGACTGATCTGCTTGTATACAAACCACGTATGTCTGAAATAGAATATCCACACAGTGCAGGCTGGCTACTGTGTTCTGGAATCAACGGGTAGGGCAAGACGATAAGCCATTGTTTCGAGAAACAATAAGAATCTAGAGTTGACTCAGGGCTATTAGTGGTGGTTGTGGTGTCATTGGTTAACTCAAGGGCAATGTCATGAAAAATTGGTATTCTAACCCGTGGTTTTATCACTTGATGTTCAACCAGGCCGTATGACATGAAACAAAGTTAATCAAAAAACTAAACGTATTCCTTCTGAGTGTGAAATTCCAGTTTCTTTATAACAATCACCACTGATTTTAACATTTAGAGGACTGTAAATCTGATAAGTTGCGTTCATAATTATCAAAGCTATAGATTGCTGTACTTAAATACAACTTAGCTTACTCTTTGGAGTTCTATTTTGGACATTTATATAACTGTAGAATCTGATGAAAATTACCTGCGAAGAATTAATCATCTAAATGTTTTGTTTATGATAGGTTACCTATACGAATATTCTTGAAGACAACACTCAGAAGACCGAAAATCAAGGAATTAATGTCATAATTATCGTCGTGCTAGTTGGGAAAAGTGTCACGTAATAAAGTCAGGATTCTTTGGAGAGATGACTGTTATATCTTGTGAATCTGTGTGCCCTGTATATTGGATAACGCAACGATACCGCCAATCAGAGAGCAGCGAATTATTGATCGAATCAGTGACGTATAAAACACGTGCGAGCAACCTACGGTCCTGCTCTCCGCCTAGCCCACCCAGTTGTAGTCCAGAACACCAATCTCAGCCTCTGCAATATGAATCATTATATTTCAAATATACTCTGTTTATATACACATCAAGCAGACCACGATGTACCATAAAATAGAAAATAACATTTGTACAATATTTGGCCAACAGGAAAATGATACCATTTTAAGTTCAAGGATAGCATTAGACTAAACAGGATAATTTTTGGGATATTTCTCTGAATATTCCAACAATAACTTTGTTTTAAATCATTATATAACAACGATTTTAGCAAAGCGTAATAAATTCGAAGTCCTTTAATTAATGATTATCTTGAAAGATTTTGAGAAATCAACGTCATGTTCACTATCAGGAAAATGACGAGCAAGAACATACCGTCTTTAAAATCTTGGCTTTTATAAGATGGGCTCAGTGATGTGGATGCTAGCATTTTTTCCTGTTATCCTAATCTATGTGCTTGATACGTGCATATAAACTGGAAAGCACAAATGAAAGTAATATAAGGCGAGAATTTTTCCACACTATGATCACCGAGTAATTTGTTTGGTACAGAGATCATTAAAAACTAAAAACACGAAGTTCAGTGAATGGATCTTAGAAGCTTGTAAAAACTTTTGATGATGGTCTTTAATATAGAATCAGTCGTCCCAGTAATTTGATCATCCTTAAAGCAAAGTTGCAGGACGACAGGTTGATTCTCATTTGAAGCATAATCGATCTCCTTCATTTTATTCTCTTTATATTCACATAATGAATTTTTGCGTATAAACGTTATCACATAAACAACGTTGAAATGAGGTTGATTTCTATGCAGTTCTCCCAACTAAACATGATTTATGTATACGGTTGAATAGCGTCCTAACCAAAACTCTTGTACAACTTGTTGGACAAAGGCTAAAGCAATACAAGTATAGGTAGCTCTTTCTTTTCGATAGACAAAATTTGTAAAATCGGCTACTTGTATTACTTGTAACACCAAGATCTAGAAAGTGAGAAATGATATCATTCTCAGTCGTAACTTAAACATTAGAGCGTTCTTTATTCAGATCTGACATATCAGCAGCTTGTTTACAATCATTACAGACAACACATGAGTCACCATCCTTGAAGTGAAACGTCTTATCATTGATTTCACTGCTCTTTGTCGTCAGTGTGTTCAAAATATAACTCCAAGCACTGGTTCAAGTGGACTTATAATGGCCACTCCATAAACTGAACGATTCAAGACACTTGAATCGAAGTTGAAAATCTTTGACGCACATTAGTAGAAGCTCGTTAAGTTCGTCGTTAGATAAAGTATGTTAATGTGTTGGCACAGAGTTTGTATGACATTTTCCAGCGGACTGTAGTAACTAATAATTATGTATCGAATGGAAGCATGAATGTACCAAAGATCCAGCACTTTGACTTGAATGCAGGTTGATTAGGGTCTCTCAAACTGTGCACGAACACCCTCAAGTGGTCCGGTTCTATCACTTTGTGAAGTGGATAATTTTTGTCCGATAGGAACTACCAAACTCCTAAACCTAACGTCGATATGGATTAATTAATTTCTCTTACAAACGTTCTCACAAACACTACGTAACAGATCTCTTTGGTGATCCAGTCATTTCATCTTATGGACTTTAACAGATCATTTCGAATATTCTTAACCCGAATAACACACTCCTCTTACCCCATGATAACTACATGACAGCCATTTTATCATTGGTATTGTTTGTTTGAATCTTCCCATTCATGTTTGGGACTGCAATTGATCAATACCTTATTGGCATATATGCATACTGTGCGAACTGCCTCGATATAGCCTTAATTCACAAGCATTATATGCAGAGATGGATAGTGCCTAGCAGTGGAATCCAGGTTGACGCTCGTTTCCTCCTTTTTGGAACTCTTCAGTTGGTTGTATCGAGGTAATACGCACAGCATGAACATATGCCAATAAGAGACTGATCAAATACAGTCCTAAACATCAATGGGAGATTCAACCAAACAATACGAAATGAATTTCACCTTCACCCCATCGCATAAGCAAGTGGCTTAAAGGATAACACGATGGTGTTTCAAGCGAACGATACTAAGTTCGAGTCCCAGAGTGAACATAAACACTGAGATGCAGGTACATCCACCTGACGATGTCCCGAATAGGACAAAACGAGCGTCAAACTCGATTACACTTCTAGCCACTATCCATCCTTGCATACAATTTATCATTATTTATATTCAAGTTATCATCTTTAATAAGACATTGTAATTATTGTTTTATCTTTAACCCTCAACAAATGAACACTACTACACTAGTTAAAGCATAATCTAGAACAATGAAATCTCGGTTCAGTATGTATCAACAATTCTCTTTATATAATTAATCGAAATCAGCATAGATGTACAAAGGATAGGATTGTAATTCACGTTGTTAACAATCTGAAATACAAAGAAAATTAACAATTAAATCTTTTCTAAACAAATCACATTAAAATATTTACTTTTATTTATTTTAACACATGGATATTGGTACAAGGAGGCACCGAATACATATGCACCACACAAATCTCATTTGATATTTGTGAGGGCTGTGATAATGCCCAGGTACCCAAACCGAAGCAAGTGGTTTTCTTAGGGGGCGACACCCGGAGTCTTCGACCTAAAGGTCTGATCCACAAGGTAGTGGAGCATCGTAAGGAGATGCAGTCGCATGGTAGCCGGTGACCAACGATTGGTTGATACGCTATTTGTTCCTTTAGGATACTGGAGCCCATGTGCACTATTGGTTTGGAATCAGGGTTTCCCAACTCCCCTAGGTCGACTCTCCATGTCCACCAACCCAGTTAAAGCGCCGGACATTCGCTAAAATTACAAGAAATTTATGCATAAACCTATGCTCAATCGATACTTCGGAAGTCTATAAGTGGCGTTTTTTAGACTGTTTACATCTTGAAATTAACCGGAAAACAAGAACGCTCGTCATTTAAGAATCATTAGTGGAGCTTCGTTTCAAAGTTCTTATATCTACAGAAATTGAAAGTCCAATTGCACAGCTATCAGAAATAATAAAACCCGTGTAAAGACATTACAACAAGCAATAATTTGGTTGTTCATTCAATCGAACTAGGAAAAAACATCATCTAGATTCCTGATTGACCGAACAATAACTCAAGCTTTTTAGAAACAAATATCGAAATCTCCCGAAAATAATAGATACCCCAATGATCAGACATTTATAGTTAACACTAAAAATCAAACTCTTCTAAGTAGACGCACATTTAATACAACAGTGAAAAACAATTGAAATGGCATTCCATATTCATACTGGTTAAATTTATGAAGGAATATGTTGAAAATGAGTGAGAAACATTAACATTGTGATGTGTGCTACTGATGTTGATAGTTATAAGTAGTATGTATCATCAATCGAAAATGGAATTCCCGATGGTAGAAGGTTGAGGAAATCGAAGAGAAGAGAACAGGAACAGAGAGTGGGTGGTATGGAAACGAAGCAACAACAAAGTCTGAGACAATTGATAGATATTTTGTAAATGAAGTATTTACTGTATGGTTCTCAGACTTTACCAAGATATTTTGTAATGTTGTATTCAAATACATTTGGTTGTCCTCACTGGTGTTTTCGTTCACTACAACATAATCGATCACAAAGAACGTGTAGATTATTAACAGTAAGGTCAACGAACTGTTATGATTGACAGATGTAAGAAGATACAACAATAAAGTGACAAACGAGATTCGTTGTATCAATGAAGAAGAAGGAGAAAGAAGACAATTGAGCAAGGGAAATTTTCTTTTCAACGATTTCATCCACTTAAGTTATACAATAGTATTTACAGTTAATATTATTTACTGAAATCGTAGACCACAGTAAAGTAGAACAGTGCTGAGTATTAAAAACAGTAGAGTGATATCATGTCATGAACTGTCTACGAAAACGAGATGTATTTAAAGTAATGTGATAACTGGTTAATGAATAGTGGTAACGTGAAAATAAGTGTCCATTTAATGACTATTAAAAAGAGAATGATTGAAAATTGCTATAATGGCTAATTAATCGTTGTGCGTAGAAGCAATTTTTTTCTGGAAAAAATATAGATTATAGAAGATAAAAGGGAAAGTTAAGACCATGGTAGAATAAGGGACTGAACATACTGCTCTGTACGCAAAGGTCTGGATTGGACTAATGAATAACAACAGACTGCCGTACATTAGGTTATTCAATTGCATTCTTCTTGAGCCGAATCTTCTGATTGTATGTATGATTTCGGAGGAAACTTCTGGTAAAGTGAAGGTGATCAGAATTGACTAGATACTCCAAAATGGAACTTCTGACTAATTTTTTTAATCCTTTAGAAAGCCAGGAAGGGTAATGTTCGGGGATGTGTTTTGAAAATGTTTGCTTTGTGAGGCCAATATAACCCGATCCACATTAGTAAGCAAAGTGATAGACATGCATTGGTTTGGCTCAAAGTGAAAGCTTATCATTCACACAACTACGAATCATAGGACCACTAGAAAGGATAATACAAAGTCAAACCGATTATAATGTTTTTCTCAGATCTCGAAAGTCTGTTTTTCAGAATTTCTGCTTCATTATGTCCTTTAAACTGAATGTCCATCATGAGTCTTGTCTGGTGCAGTGAACACTTTCACGTTGTTGTTCTGGATTCAAAGATTTTTTGATAGATCTAGGTGGATATTCATTATTGATCAGTACCTGGCGTAGTTTATTACGTTCGATATCAATTGCATTCTCGGACTTCGAAACGAAAAATATATCGAAAATCGACTGAATTTACAAATATAAACTACTGGATTATGATTCAGTAGTCTAATGACATCGTGAACATTATAAAACTTGAAGGTCATTCAGTTCGATAGTATGTATGTCTACAATTGTTGTGAAAGCTCAGCAAACTAGGAATAAACAACTGTCAAACGCTTACTTGCTTTCAGAGATTCTCGAACTAACATCGGTTCGCAATTAAAACAATCAGGATAACCGGTTTCGAATACGAAATCTGATAGAAAAAAATTCTGAATGCATGTATGTATGCGTATGTATGGGGGAAAAAAATTGTTCGCGACACTTGATTGCTTGATATACACAGTAACCCAATAATTCGACCGTTAAATACAGTAAACATGTATAGACTAGGGAAAGTTTATTAACTCGACAGAGAGCAATCACCGAGTGAATTCAAAAGTGGGACGGATATAACAAGACAGTTGTTTATATTTGTTGTAGCTTCACAAGTCTTTCTCCAACCGTCGAATTATCACAAGACTGGACATATATGACAGTATGAGTGTTCCGTTAGGCGGATAAGTGAATAAGCACTGTGGCTAATACCCAATGATAAGTCTGTTGTACACATATCTCAGTTCTACAGTTCAGTGATGACGCCCCCAACTGTGAACCTTCGTGACAAGAGCTCAAGTCTGACAAGCAATATCAGTTCCCTCAAGACTACAGGTCCATCCTTCTGACAAAAGCCAAACATCACGAGACCTGGGTACACGGTTTCCTGTTGACTACCCCAAACCTGCACCTTACATCAGAACATGATACACGCGATATCGAATCACGTAAACTAGTGGCCACATTCCAGCTCGATTGATACGATTCGGTCAGCACTAAGAAGAATTCACAAGCATGACGTTGGTCACTACTCAGTGATCAATCAATCGAAAATATCACCGTTAATGTTTTGACCTTAAGGTTATTATGCTTGTACAGAAGTGCATAAACACAATCCCATTACTATTAACGTTTCCAGGTAAAGTTACACTTCCCATCAATGTTATCTTAAGAAGACTGTGACTAATTATGAAGATCTTTTAGCATCCAAAATTTAGTGTTTCTTATTTACGATTACGACCGTTCTTAAAAGACAACCAACTCTCAGAAAGTCACTACATTATTACGTGAATTTGTTTAATAATATTACACTGTCAGAGGTTGTATTTAAGTTTTCGATTTACATAAATTAACTTTCTGAATATTTACAATTTTTACTTGTTTACTCGTTTGTCATAGTGATGAAAATAAATTACGAACTAGAGAAAATTTCACTCGAAATCTAGGCACTCGAAGTACTGACCCCAAAAAATAAAGTCACGTTTTTTATCTACAACACCATTATGTAGACTGCCACCAGTTAAACAGAAGATGTAGAGCAACCTTCAGGTTCCCCAAATGCCCTGGTACGACCGAGGGTAGGGAGAGTCAGCTCTTCCTCTCGAAATGCTCTCACATGCCCATGTGTATACAGCAACTTTAAAGGAAGTCCTACTCACCGACTTCTCGCACCAGCGGTGTTGTTTACGAAATTGAGGAGACGAAAAGCGAATGTCCGGCGCTTTAATCGGGTTGGTGGACATAGAGAGTCCACCTAGGGTGCACATGGGCTCCAACATCCTGAAGAAACAAATGGCGTATGAACCAATCGTTGGTGACCGGCTACCATGGGACTGATCTCCTTACGATGCTCCACTACCTTGTGGATCAGACCTTTAGTTCGAAGGCACCAGGTGCGGCCTCCTAAGGAAACCACCTGCTTCGGTTTGGGTAACCCAGCAGTATCACAGACCACACACAAATCAAGTGACTTGTGTTGTGCATATGTATTCGGTGCCCCTTTGTACCAATATTTATGTGTTCAAATAAATAGATACATAAATAAATAAACAAATAAATAAATAGTTGGAGTCAATCACAAAGAAGCCTCCAGTCTAGACTCGGTATTAGTTGGTGTTTAGCGACAAGGTGTATCCACAATCTTTAAAGAGCTGATGACTGTCATGGAAACCGAATTTGTATCACCATGATAGTTATAGAAGTTATCACTGAGCTATTAGTGTCTCTATGCAACAAGTTTATCTTTAATTATAAATCTCGACGTGCACCACCACAACTGTCCACTTAAAATGGTGACCACATTGCAATTGAATCAATTTACACTGAGCAGACGCGATATTGAGATTTATTTACATAATACACATAAAAAATATTGCACCTGCCCACTCAAAACAGAATGCGCAACACAAAATATAGAGATGACATTGTAAACAAGGAGGATGTATAATAGAAGATAAATATCAGTTAGATATATTGTAGTGAACGAGAACACGAGTGGGGACAATCGAATGTATTTGAACACAAAATTACAGAACATCTTAGTTAAATCTAAGAACCATACAGTAAATTCTTCACTTCCAAAATGTCAATCAATTGTCTCAAACTTGACTGTTCCTTCTGCCTCCAGGCATTTTACTTTCGACTAATGATACATACTACTTATATCTATCGACATCAGTAGCACACACTCCAATATAACCAACAAAAATTTCTTCCAGTTAAGCTATACTACACTTTTATGAAGAATGTACAAAAAATACTACGATAACGTCACTACTGGCTCACATTTTAAACCGTACCTGACGTTTTAAGGACGCCGATCTGAAGGTCATAACAGACTGACCTAATGCAAGTTGCGAACTTCAGTATTACTAATATGGTGGTAACAGAGGATATTAAAAATCTTTCTGAGTTCACGATGATAAAATTAAGTCACCGACATCCTTAGCTTATAAGAGCAAGGTTTCACAACCAAAACATTGGCTCCTACGCAGTGATTGGTTGAATGTAAACATCAAAACAAATATTTAGTCTTCCTGGAAATCAGTAAGAGCTTATTCCTTTTTCCATCTCTCACATTCTCTAGGATAAAAACTAACTAGTCAGTCAGTCAGTAACAACGTAGAACTTCGTAAGTACGTACAAAAGTTCGAGTTGCCACACCATATTAGCACAGAGATGCAGTTGTCGATTCAAATCCCGTAGTGGTAGAGGCAGTAAGATTATAAGCAGTAATCGGGAAGATTAGGGTTTGAAGATGTTATTTAAAGAGTATAATTCAGTGAAATAAAATTGGGAACAGAAAAATAGGACATGACAAATTCAGAAAATTAGAATTTGGGAGAACACAAAGATTGGATACACCTGCACCATTGCAAACGATTTTAAGCCATGTCATTCAGGGTCTCTAACCATCGGTTGCTATCATCTCGCGGTCTCCAACCAGGTAGTATACACCTACCAACATGGCTCAGACTACTTGTCAGTGACTTCATGAACTTATGCCATGTTTTGGTCTGGCCACCCCTAGCTTTCTTCCAACCTACTCCTATACTATTGAGCATCGCACGTCGAGGCAGTCGGTGGTTGGGCATACGTAACACGTGTCCTAGCCATCTCAACTGATGAAGTTTCATTACTTTATCAATTGACTTGCCATCCTTACCTAGTGCCCGTTTCCTAGCAACTGCGTTACTCACTCGATGGTCCCACGATATACGAGCAATGTTTCGAAGACACCTATGATCGAATACTAGTAACCTACGAATATCCTCAACTCTTACCGGCCATGTTTCACTGCCATAAAGTAGGACGGAACGAACTGCTGCACAGTAAACACGTCCTTTGTTTGATAGACGGATATCTCACCTACGCCATAAATGACGCAAGTTGGCAAAAGCTAGTCGAGCCTTCGGTATCTGTACTGAGATTTCGTCATACACAAGACCACAAGGGCTGATGAGACTTCCAAGATAAGTGAAGCGGTCGACATGCTCAACTACTTCACTCACTATCATTAGTTCGGGTGTCGATGTAACCCAATCCTGAAGCAACATTTTGCATTTCGAGGGGGAGAATTGCATCACGAACATGCTTGCATTGTTGCTTAGAGTGGTCAGAAGACTCTGCATTTTGTCAGCGTCTTCGCCAAATAAAACTATATCATCGGCATATTCTAGGTCAGAAAGTGAAACTAACTAGCATTCATACCAGTGTTATTTCGTTGATTTGTTAAAAGCACATGCAGAAATATTATTTCAGGCTAGAAAAAAAGCAATACATTAGAAATAGTTATGAATAGCATAAGAATCTAGTTATCCACACAACAACAAAAAAATATTAAAACTATTGAACTAACTTGTCTAAACTATGTATTTGATCCAATTTTTTCTTAAATACCATTTTAGGTTTAGTCAATTGTAATGGAGGTGCCATAACAACTTCATTGAATTTCACTTTATCTATATATTGATTATTGATAAAGTAATAGAAGTGATGAATACAAACCTTGTAAGTGTTCAAACCCTGTTAAACGTTTTTCAATAGTACGTAAACGTTTTTCTTTACGTTTCTCATTTAAACGTCTTTAAGATTTTAAAAAAAAGAAGGAAATAATGTCAAATCAATATTGAAGTTTACTTTATAGCTTTACGTTTCTTTTTACTTTGTTTAACTTCTGTAACAGGAATAAGTTCAGTCTAAATTAATGTTATTAAAATATTGAAAAAGTATATATATGTAATAATATTACTCGTTGTTTCTTGGAGAATTCCACCTTGTTTAATTCATCTTCAACTTCTTTATGAAGTCGTCCCAAATAATGAGCATCTGATTCATGTTTACCTTGTTTCAAGACAGGAACTGGATCATCTTTTTTCTTCATACCTTTAGTATCTCCAACAGCTGTATTGTAATGAAATAAACTATATACCAAACAAATAAACATTATATACCTGGATCAAATAGAGTTTTCCATTTACCATCTTTCATAAGTAACATTTGTTTAAAACTAGCTGGAACATAATTTTCATCATTAAATTTAGGTGGACGATTGTATATTTCTGATGATGAATAGACAATTAGCAATTGCACATATAGAGAAATAGTAAGATTGCAATGAAATACAAAGAAGAAAAAAAGTAGAACATACCTAAATTTGAATTATTTGCGCCAATATTTTTTAATTTTTTATGCTTTTTTGTTTTTAATCGACGAGTATATTGAACAGGAGTTTTACTGTTCACACGTGAATGAACCACTTCTTTGTACCGTTTACGACGACTAGAATGTTGGCGAACTTAAAGATTTAAAAAGAGCAAGTGAATCGATCAATTGTAATTACAAAATAATACCTTTATTTTTACTCATTTTTCTTTTTTCAATTTCACACACAATTCACAGATACTTCATTATTAATTCAAGCAAGAAACGTCTGCAACTATCATTTGAAAAAAGATCACTAGTTAGTCAATGAATCCTGCATTTTCAAATTACCCAATGGTTAAAAAAGAACATAGAATAAATTCCCATCAATCAAAGTTGTTAATACACTTCCAATTAATAGAGTGTAAAATAAAAAGATGAAGAACAATTGAGTGAAAGATAGAATGTAAAACAGAAAAAAGAGACCTAGGGGAAAACATTTCGTTTATTTATTTATTTTAACACATAGATATTGGTACAAGGAGGCACCAAATACATATGCGCCACACAAATCTCATTTGATATGTGTGAGAGCCTAAACCGAAGCAGATGGTTTTCTTAGGGGGCCACACCCGGAGACTTCGACCTGAAGTTCTGATACACAAGGCAGTGGAGCATCATAGGGAGATGCAATTTCATGGTAGCCGGTGACCAACGATTGGTTCTGTTGGGATATTCAGAAAAATATATCAATAATTATCCTGTTAAGTCTAATGGTGTCCTTGGACTTTAAGTGGGCATTTCCTATTGGTCAATGTTTATTTCACTTGTCAAATATTGTACAATTGTTGTTTTCAATTTTATGGTACGATGTGGTCTGTTTGATTGGTATATAAACAGAGTATGTCTGAAATATAATGATTCATATCGCTGAGGCTGAGACTTGCGTTCTGGACTCAACTGGCTGGGCTAGATAGGGAAGCGAGACCAAACAAAACTCTAGGCCGTTCTTGCGTGTCTTACGCGTCTTTGTAATCGATCGGTAGTTCGCTAACCTCCAATCAGCAGCGTCTCACATTACAACAGGTCCATACGCCATTTGTTTCTTTAGGATACTGGAGCCCATGTGCACCATTAGTTTGCAATCAGGGTTTTTCAACTATTTAAACTCGAAACTTATGAGCAGATAAAGGACGAATACACCTATGCAATCGCTGTAGATTTTCAGCCATGTCCTCAAAGGTCTTCAATTATAGACGACAATAATCTTAGGAGCTTCATTTAGGTAGTTAATACAACCCAACATGGCGAAGTTCAACCTAACAAATCAAGGGCATATCCGATCACCTTTAGTCCAAATTTACTCATATGCTAGTCAGATCATAACGTCAAAGTGAATGGTGGCTGCTCATCAGCAATATGTTTCAAACCATATCAATGAAGGTTCACAGCTTAGCATAGCTAAATGAAAAGCTGTGCATAGTCTCAGCATTACTTATTCGATTATTCTTACTTTTAAAAAGATATACAGGGTTGAACTAAAGGTGCGGTATGAAATAGTAAGTCACTGAATATTACGTAAATAACTCCCTTTGGTTTTCGTTCAAAGCAAAAGTTACTGATTAGTTTTTGAAGCATAATGACTTCGAATCAATAACAAGTAGAACCAGACTAGAGGGATCACCGTGGAGCTGGTCATTTAAAGGTATTAATTTGGTGTCAAAAGTCCAACCAGTTACTATTTAGGGTGGTCTATTAACATATTTAGTGCCCACAATGAATTCAATCCAAAACTTGTAAACAGTTATTGAATTGTACTAAGTCTATCAGTAACTCCAGAATAATGACTTTTATGTGTATATTATAAATAACACTGTTTGGATTCGTTGTTTCGCTAACTTCAGTATGAAGTGTAGTTTCTCCAAGTAGAGCTAGAAGTGCATTTAAGTCAATCGGTTGTAAATCCATTACAGTGATTATAAATTATCAATGACTATTTGTCACTGAATAAAAACAGTGAAAAAGTATTAAGAATTCGTAAATTAATTTTGAAAGTTGACTTTGTATCCACCTTCACTTAATTTTGAAATCTATATAGATTTTCATCCTCAGAGGTTATATTCCGGAATTCCACAGCCATAACAGGATCGACCATATTTGCATCACTAAAAAACTCAGGTCAATGGAAGACGTGAGAACCAGGAGAGAAGCTGACAGCTTCAGATCACCACCTGGTTGTGGCTAAGATGAAAATGAAGCTAAACAAGCAACAGAAAACTGGGGAAACAATATTACAAAGGTTCAATACAGTTTTCCTTCAACATACTGGCAAACTCAACGAATTCAAGATGACTCTCATTAACAAGATCTACGGAAAGAAGAAACTACTGTGGATGGCAACTGGAAAGGGATCAAAGAAGCACTTACTTTAAAGTATCAGAAGGTTCTGGGCCGCAATAAGCATCATCATAAGGAATGCATCTCTATCGAAACCATAGACAAGATTCAAGAAAGGAAGAACAAAAAGACAGCAATTAACAACAGCCGGACAAGAGCAGAGAAAGTCGATGCACAAGCTGAATACACAGAAGCAAACAAGCGAGTGAAGAAGAGCAACATAACCGACAAGCAGAAATACGTGGAAGAGCTAGACAGTGGAAAAATCTTCAAGAAAAGGAAATATGAGACAGCTATATGACAGAACGAGGAAACTAGCAGGGAAATGTGGTGAGTCAGAGAGACCGGTCAAGGACAAGGCAAGACAATCATCTAGGTTCAACAAAGGAACAGATGGGTAGAACACTTCGAGGAACTCTTGAATAGACCAGCTTCACTTGATCCACCAGACATTGAAGTAGCACCTACAGACCTTCCTATAGATGTCACTTCACCAACAATCGAAGGAATCAGGATGACTATTAGACAAATCAACAGCGGGGAAACAGCAGGACCTGACAGTATACCAGCTGAAGCACTGAAATCAGACACAGAAGTAACTGTACAGATTCTCTACGAAATATTCAGGAAGATGTGGGGGGACAAGTGCCAACAGACTGGGAAGAAGGATACCTCATCAAGATACCAAAGAAAGGAGACTTGAGAAAATGTAAGAAATATAAAGGAATCACACTACCATCAGTACCAGGAAAAGTTTTCAACAGTGTTGCTGAACCGGATGAAAGGTTCAGTAGACGTCTAGCTTTCAGATCAGCAGACCAGATTCCGTAAGGATTGATCGTGCATAGACCAAATAAAGACACTATGAATCATCGTTGAACAATCAATTGAATGGTACTCGCCACTATACATCAACTTCACTAGAAAGCATTTGATAGTGTGGATAGAAGGACTATGTGGGACCTTCGTCGACGCTGGTGTGCCTGAGGAAATCGTCAACATCATCAGAAATACAATACGGAGAACACCAACTCGATCACATTCGATGGAGAAGTTCTGGAAGATGTGGAATCTTTCACGTACCTGGGAAGCATCATTGATGAACGAGGATCCGATGAAAACGTAAACGCGAGGATTGGCAAAGTGGGGGCAGCGTTCCTACGGTTGAAAAGCATATGGAACTCAAATAAACTGTCAACCAACATCAGAGTCAGAATCTTCAATACAAACGTCAAGAATGTTCTATTGTAAGCAGCTCAAACTTGGAGAACTAATACAATCACCATCAGGAAGATTCAAGTATTAATAAGCGATTGTCTACGTAAGATCCTGAATGTCCGTCGACCACATACCATTCGCAACAGCGTACTGTGGGAGAGAACAAACCGATTTTCATTCTAAGAGGAAATTAGGAAAAGACGTTGGAAGTGGATAGGAAATACATTGCGGAAACCACACTGCATCATGAGGCAAGTGCTAACTTGGATTCCATAAGGGAAACTGAGAAGAGGGAGACCAAAGAACACATTGCGTCGGGGATAGGACGCACACAACTAAAGAATGAATAGCAGCCAAAACAACTGGAAAGTATGTCCCAGGATACAAATCGATTGAGAATGCTGGTGGTCGGCCCATGCTCCTCCATGAAAGAGGAACAGGCGTGAGTAACAGGATACTGACAGTTTAAACAGATAAGTTAATTTTAAGGTACCTATTGCCTTCATGAAATGTGACTTGTTACTTAGATACTTACACAAGCTTCTTGTGATTGGAATCTGAGTCTGCAACGGTCACAATTAAATATAACTGAAGCCAGTAAATATGAATGATGTCAAAATAGGAAAAAAATCTCATTGTTAGGGGGGACAAGTAAACCCGGACCACTGTGCATAGACCAAGTAAGTATCTAACAGAGTTAATTGTCTATAATACCAACTATCTTACTCTGCTGAACAAGGTGCCAAGCTAAAAAATGTGATTGTCACAGAAAACTCCCAGGCCATTGACATTTTAGGAATGTGGACAGCACCGGAAATAAATGATAGCGAAATTTAAGGGGTTGGTTTTTTCTGTTTTGTAGGACACACCAAACCGTGAAGAATGTAGCGTCACCCTGCACCTGAAGATCTTAAACGTACAAGCTGTAGAAACAATGGTACACAGCTCAGAAACATGTGAATTGGTATGCCGTGAGATGAAATGTATGGAACAAGACATGGAACATGCTACAGCATGCTGAAGCTCGTAATGTAGATGGAATTATCTTCTCCTTAATAAACTACAATGCTGGTTAAACAAATGGAGAAGTCTTAGACCGGAAGACTTCAATGCATCCCCTATCAAATAGTTTAACTTAGAAGCAGAATCATCAATGAATTCGTTCGGTCACGTACCGTTGAAAATCAAACGCATAGGCTCTTGTCCAGCACACTGAAAATCCCATAGACCTGACCACCGACATACAGTTGCAGCTACGTTTAACACTGTATGGGTTCTAGGTTGAATGCAATTATGTTTACTACAGTAAACATAACCTTTGAGACTCAAACTTGAAAACTGAATTCTGGCTGGTTAACCAGATCTATGTCTTGAGAATTTTGAAGAACGAACACGTTAGACACAAATTACCTCATCGATTTATCAATTCTTAAAACCTATTATTGTGAGAATTGATGTCGTCCCTATATTTGACTCACTTAGATAAATATAAAACGAACATAAAAGCATAACATATAAGATATAACTGCCCTTCCGCTTAATGTCCGCATCGTACAAATCTGTATCCGGAGTCAACTTAACAATAATACTGACACATTGAGCAGGCTTTCCGATTAAATTTTTGGTATAAAACGTTGGATCAAACAAAAACATGTATCCGAAGCACATGAATTACCAAACACATAAGAAAGTAACGAAACACGCCTATTTGTTGCGTTATTTTTTGACTGACGCGCTACTGGTCCAAAGTGGTTCAAATGGTTGTGGACGGAATAGAAGACGTTTTCGCTTAACAGGTTTCTGTGTCTAGTAGCAGAGGATCGCCAAACCCTCCAGGCGGGAACCTAGGTATGTTAACATTAAAGGTCGACGCGGATGGATTGATCGAAGATGAATGTAATAAGTTTAAGGCTACATTCGAGTCCGTAACGTCGCCGTTTATCCCATGGTCAGCACATAAGCTATCACATTGCTCTCCATGGATTAATAAGGAAACTCGGAAGCTGTTAAAGCGTAGGAAACATTTCTGGGACTTATTCTTGTTGACAGGTAATGCACCATTTAAGCGTGAGTACCAAAAATTCCGTAATAACTGTAAGAAAACCATAGCCAAATCCCGTACCACTTACGAACAACAGTTAGTATATAATAGCCGTACTTGTCCGAAACGATTGTTTTCGTATGTCAAACGGCAAATGAAACATAGTGATGGTATTCCCCCGTTACTGTTACACGAAAATTCAGAATTACTAGCTGAATCAGATCGAGCAAAAGCTGAGACTTTTTCAAACTATTTTCAGACTATTTTAACCAAGACTTCTCCACGTTTGTTGTAACAAATACTTGTTTCACTCACAAAGAGATACCAACCAATGAATCTGTACAGGTGACTGAGGAAACTGTCCTTCCGTTGATAACTAACCTCAAACCTGGTAAGATACCGGGCCCTGACGGGTTACATTCACGGTTGCTGTCATCTCTTGCGGACACTATTTCCAAACCGGCCTGTTAGTTAAACTAGTATGGTCGTTAAGTTACTTGAAAAGATAATTCGGGTTAGGTTGCTAAGCCACATAGATTTACACAATCTGTTAGCTCCTGAGCGACACGGATTTCGTAACAAGCGTTCATGCTTGACTAACTTGCTTATTGCGAGGGAGGATTAGACAGCAGCCCTAGATAACGGTCTGTCTGTCGACGTGATATTCATAGATTTTGGCAAAGCATTTGACAAGGTTTCACACGTAGGTCTTATGCAGAAGCTCACGAGCTTCGGAATAATAGGTACTGTACATGAGTGGATAGGAAATTTCTTATGTGACCGCAGACAGAGAGTTAGGGTCAATGGAACGCTATCCGATTGGAAGCCGGTCAAAAGTGGTGTACCCCAAGGCACCATCTTAGGCCCTCTGCTCTTCCTTCTCTACGTTAATGAGTTACCGTTGTTACTTAGGTCGTCGACATTATTATTTGCGGATGATGTAAAAATCTGGAGAACAATAAAAAGTGCGGCTGATCATGTGGATCTTCAAGCTGACTTAGACGATTTAGTTAGATGGGCTCGAGAGTGGGGCTTAGAAATCAATGCTAGGAAGAGTGTACAAATGCACATCGGTCACGGTAATAGTTACCGTAACACTAATGATGGTAAACCTCTTCTATGCGTTCAAGAGCATAAAGACTTAGGAGTAGTATTAAGTCATGGTTTAAAAACAACTACGCATTGCAAAGCAGCCGCTGTCAAAGGTTTTCGAGCGTCATGGTCACTTCGTCGAGCGTTCAAATCTTTTGACGAGGAAACGTTTCGAATTTTATATCCCATATATGTAAGACCACATTTAGAGTACTGTATCCAAGCAGCTAGCCCGTGTCTGGTAAAGGATGCTAACTCCCTTGAGCGTGTTCAGCGTGTGGGAACGAAATTAGTGAAGGTTCTTTCTAGACTCCCTTACGATGAGCGTTTAAAACGCCTAAATCTTTTCCCCTTGTCGTATCGTAGGACACGAGGTGACCTTATACTGGCATTTCGTATCTTTAATTATGATTTGGGTGTTAATATGTCTCATCTTTTTGCTCCCTCCAGCACTAATAATCTCCGAGGTCATAGCAAGAAGGTTCATAAACCACGATCTAATAAACTTAAAGTGGGATCCCGTTTTTCTCATCGAGTAGTCAATCATTGGAACGCCTTACCCAAACAAGTGTTATCAGCCCCATCAATGAATACTTTCAAGGAGAAACTGGACCTTCACTGGAAAGCAATGTGTTAGGATTAACACAGGTTCATCAACCGACTATCCTTATTACTGAAGACTGAAGACTGAAACTGGTAAATCATAGTATGATGCTGTCCTTGGTCCTTAGGAATAGGCCAAGATGCATCTAGAAGGACTCCTGAGAAGTCGCCTGGACTAGCTCAGTCGGCAGCGAAATCCAGCATTTGACAACTCTTAAGGAGTAGAATTTATGTCTACATTCCGCTTTGCTATGTTGCGTCTACAGTTTTTTGGGTGTTACCCCTTAGGTTAGTGTTCGTACTAAGCTTTAAGTAGGTGTTTGAGAGGGATCTAAAATGATTCAAAAGGTTTTGAACTGAACAAAACAAGCTTACACTCAACAGGCCTCCGTATCAAGAAGTGAACAAACGGTTCTGTGAGATAGAAATCAAGGTATATTAAACGACTAAAGTAATAATATCAGTAAATTATTATTAGATACTGTCCTGAGTCCCTAAGAATATCAGTTTCAGTTTGGTTAGGACAGAACGCTAGGCGGCCTGTGTAAATCACGGCAAAAGTGTCCTCTCATTTGATCAAAGTTTATTTCGAAACAGTCGACAGATGAAGATCTAATCACGTGTTGAGCTAATGAATCCTACTCATTGATAATTCGATAGGAAAGTCGAGTCAGCTGACAGGTAATTTTACTATGCTCGTGAAAGACAAAAAAATGTGAACATTTCAGATACAAATTTATCACTAATTGATTTAGAAACTCTTATCAAGTTGCATCTGATTTTTCAGCATGACACTGAGAATAGGTTTAGTTTAGCCAGTCGAGCATCGTACTGGAGCTTCGCTATTCCGGGAATCAGTTTAGCTTCTATTCTCTGAACCTTTTCTAGAAGCCCACTGTCTTTTTAGGCGGAGGCTAGCCACTTGCATACAGTACTCGAGTTTAGGACGCACGAACACTACATACAAAGTCAAAAACGTTTGAGCGTCGACTTGAATAAAGACTATAAGTATTGACCATAAGGTTCTAAAAACTTTGGCTACTATTGCACAGCAGTGTGCAGTGGTTTTCAAGTCTTGGCTAACGATGACTTCTAAGTCATTGTGAGTCTGGACAACAGGTAGTTCAGTGTTTTTACCGTGTATGTATCTGTACCTTGATGACCGATATGCATCACAATACACTTGGAAGTATCAATCGGCAACTGCCAAGTTTGAAACCATTCAAGTATTTCCTCCAGGTTATTTTGATGATCCAAGCTATCAAGTTTACTTCTTATCACCCTCCACATCTTGGCATCGTCAGCATATATCAAGACGAATTATATAGTAGACGGGGAAGGTCATTTACATACGTAAACAGCTACTTCCGTCAAGTTTTCTCGTAAGTTGCGTCCATTACCTCGGCTGCTCTTTTGGAGATTAGAGATTTACGATGTGTTTTGGTCTCTATATAAATTTGGATATTTTTCATGTATTGAAGAAAGTCATATCTTTCACGTGAAGAGTTTGGATTTGGTGTTCGAGAATTAGGAACGATGTTTGTATCGCAGAGATATTCAATTGCATTTATCTCAATGTAACAAATTTCCGTGATAATGACTTAAAGGTGCCAAATGTATTTGAAGATTGACAACACCTGAACCAGTAACACGTTTCGTATTTGAAGTTCGCCAATCCAGCCAAATCAGAAGAGAAAAGGCGAGTCTATAAAAACTAATGAGGTCGGCATCAAAAATCAAAGACTTACAGAGCTATTGATTTTAGGGATTTACTTTCCACTACAAAGTCACAGGTAAACACTTAGAACACTCCTGTTAGATTCCATAGTCATGTCATAAGTTGTAGAATGAAGCTTTAGAAATGAATTAGTCATATTGACTGTAGAATGCCAACGCACTCAAACTATTTAAAGAGGCATTACACCGGTGGTTTGTGGTTTTGAATTTTGAACATTTCTTTACCGCTGCAGGACTTTGCGATCCTCGAAGGCCGATGTACTGAGAGGTTTACTCATTTGTTAGATTATTTTGGATGAATACAGAGTTTGTATGCACTTGTTGTGAAATTCTGAATAGGACATCATGTTGGAATGCACTTTCGTCAAAAATACGTAGGTCAATAACTTCTCCATCTGTTGATATTCAGTATTAAAGATTTCGTCTAATCGTAGTCAATCAGTTAAACCTCTTTGTGGGAGCACGATCTTTTCAAATTGCTCGTACAGTTTCGAGATTTTTATACCCAGTTCATTTGACGCGATATATCTTCCCACTTCATAAGGTAGTACTTTGAAAACCGTGACAAACTGTGTAAGTGGTTCAATCACAAGTGTTTGCTAAAGTTAGCCTCTAGATAACAATTTCAGGCCTCTGGACTATCTATGGGGATTGAAGAAGTCAAAATTCAGACAAATTTTGAAGCGTTTTGAACGTCATGAACACTGAGCATGCAAAACTGTCATAAGAAGGTATATAATCAAATCCTAAAGCAAGGAACATATTAAAGAATGATTTTTGAGTATCTCCTCGTATTATGAGGGGTCACATTGAAAAGAATTCAGATACTGTGGACTTTGATAACACTTAGACTTTTTTCATACAGTTTAACCGGAATAATTGAGGTGAAATTTGATGTTCATTGAATAGGAAAATATACCTGTGGTATAGACACGGGTATCATGAACTGTGCCATCCAAACTCCATGCCCCCAAATGCCCTGGTATAGCCGAGAGTGTGGTGGGTCCACTCTCCCTATGAAATGCTCTCACATGGCCACGCGTATATAGCATCTGCCAGGAAAGTCCTACTCATTGTCTTCTCGTGGCAGGGGTGTTACTTACGAAATTGAGAAGACGAAAAGCGAACGTCCGGCGCTTTAATCGGGTTGGTGGACATGGAGGGTCTACCTAAAATAGTTGGAAAACCCTGATTTCAAACCAATGGTGCACATGGGATCCAGTATCCTGAAGAAACAAACGGCGTATGAACCAATCGTTGGTCACCGGCTACCAT